AACTCAGCCACCTTTGTGTCTGCTAGCAACCACGCCTTCTTCCTGCCAGCTGGTCTTCTAATTTTTCAGTTTCTAGAATTTATAAACAAAAGGAAAACTGGTAAAAATAACCTGATATCAAGCAGCACCCATAGCTCAGTGGGTAGGGCGTCAGCCACATACACTGAGGCTGGCGGGTTTGAACCCTGCCCAACCAGTTAAAACAACAATGACAACTGCAACAACAACAACAACAACAAAATAGCCAGGCATTGTGGTGAGCACCTTAGTCCCAGCTACTTGGGAGGATGAGGCAAGAGAATCGCTTGAGCCCAAGAGTTTGAGGTTGCTGTGAGCTGTGACGCCACAGCACTCTACCCAGAGTGACAGCTTGAGACTATGTCTTGAAAAAAAAAAACTTGGTATCATGTGATAGGTTGACACATTAAAGGAATCCTATTGTTGCTTAACCAAAATCCTATTTAATATTTCTCCAACAGAAAACAAAATTTATGATTTAATTTAAAAAAAATTAGGCCAGGTGTGGTGGCTCATGCCTAGTCTAATCCTAGCACTCCAGGAGGCTGAGGTGGGCGGACTGCTTGAGTTCAAGTGTTCAAGAGCGAGACCCCATCTCTAACAAAACAGAGAAACTAGCCATGTGTTGTGGCGGGTGCTTGTAGTCCCAGCTACTTGAGAGGCTGAAGCAAGAAGTCTGCTCAACCCCAAGAGTTTGAGGTTGCTATGAGCTACAATGCCACAGCACTCTACCCAGGGTAACAGTGTGAGACTCTGTCTCAAAATATAAATTAATTGATTTTTTAAAACCCAACATTTTCGTGTAATGTTTGAATGTCCTACTGTGGCTTACACTTAAAAAGTTTCTAACCCAGGTATAGTGATACACACCTCTAGTAGCCCAGCTATTTGGGAGGCTGAGACATGACGATGGCTTGAGCCCAGGAGTCTAGCCTGGGCAACATAGCAAGACCCTTCTCTTAAACATATATAAAGTATAATAAACCTTCATATACTATTTTTAGTAATGTACATAACACACTATTTTGATGTTTTCACTTACAAAGTAATAAGTTATTCTATAAATAAGAAAGTCATCTAACAAATTCTGATCCAAAATGTTTTTTAATCGTGTGATTTCAAGGACTTTAAGGAAGGAAAAGCAATTAAAAGAGCCGTTAAAAGGAAGAAAAAAAGAAAAGATGGGAAAATACCATTCAAAAGAATCTATGTCTCCTTTAGAAAACAACTTTTCAAATGAAAGGCAACTGTTCTATTAACTGCTGAATTACCCTTACAGAGACCACATGGATAATGATACTTAAATCGCTATCAACAAAAGGGGCAAGTTGTCCTTGGAGATAGAAAAACTATACAGTATTTTCACAGTGGAAGTTAGGCAAAAGGTTTTAGAAATCCTCAGAATTTAAGAAACAAATTCAGTGGTTCTGAATTACTTATGTAATTATTGGTTAGTTTCGTCTGTGAAAACCAAATATGAGTATTAGCACACACCCAGCAATTACACAGAATACTACACCAAAGGAAGATGCTTCCCTTGCTGGCAAAATGACTAAGAAACATAAACTGAAATCACACGGCATTGAACGGAGGCCACCACTTTTCCCTTTCATTTAAATCAAGAAGAAAAATGTTGAGAGTTATAAACAAATAAGCTATCATAATAAAAGTGACACAAAAATCTTTCAAAAAACTAGCTCCTCTTAAGAAGCTTGGAACTCTGTTGTTAAATGGCCAACATTATAGAAAATAAAGGGCCAGTAAGTTACCTGAAAATAATGGTTACTCTGATGTCTACCAATTCTTTGGTATCCTTCCTTTCAAATGATGATCCCAACTCACTTCTAATGAAAAGTGGGAGGGATACTGTGTAACGTGTACAACTAGGTCACAGAAAGGATACAGCTTCTGCCTGCTCGCATGTGCTCTCTCAAGGCACTTGCTCTTAGAACTCAGCCACCAGGCTGCGAGGAAGTCCAGGCCACACAGAGAGGCCACGTGTGGGTGTTCCAGCCAGTATCCCCTCCAGACCCCTCTGACACCAGCATCAGCTGCCAGTCACTAGAGGGATGAGCCCGCAGACAATTCCAGCCCCTGGCCCCTCAGTCTTCCAGCTTAGGACCCAGGCACGGCGCAGCAGAGACGCCATCCCTGCTCTGAGTTCTCTAAACTCCCTGTTCTCATAGGAAGTGTCTGAAATAATAAAAGATTATCATTGTTTTAAGCCATGAAGTTTCAGAGTAGTTTTGTTTTGCAGCAACAGATAAATCATTTACCTCAAACACACACCAGATACGAAAGGATTTTTCTCTTTCCACTGCTGCGGCACAGGAAGGAGCCACAACGGATTGCTTTCAACCTGAAAAAATAACCTTTATACAAAGCAGTTATACAAAGGCTGACAATAAACTCCACAAACTCATGCTAGAAAAAGTATTACACACCTCATTGCTGTATGTCATTATGGACACCTTCAAAGTACTCCCCGTGGGAAGTGATGCACTGATGCCAGCACCTAGTCCACCCTTCCAAACAATTCTGGAACTCTTTTTCTGGAATACCTATAAGAGCTGTCATGGTAGTACCCTTGATGCCCTGAACGTCATGAAAATGTCTTCCTTTTAATATTTCCTTTATCTTTGGGTAAAGAAAAAAAGTCAGCTCGGCGCCTGTGGCTCAAGTGGCTAAGGCGCCAGCCACATACACCTAAGGTGGCGGGTTCGAATCCCCAGCCCGGACCCGCCAAACTACAATGATGGCTGCAACCAAAAAATGGCCAGGCACTGTGGCGGGCGCCTGTGGTCCCAGCTACTTGGGAGGCTGAGGCAGGAGACTCGCTTGAGCCCTGGAGTTGGAGGTTGCTGTGAGCGTGATGCCATGGCACTCTACCCAGGGGGATAGCTTGAGGCTCTGTCTCAAAAAAAAAAAAAAAAGAAGAAGAAGAAGAAGAAAAAAAGTCCCTGGGGGCCAGATCAGGTGAGTAGGGTGGGTGCTCCAATACAGTTATTAGTTTACTGGCTAAAAACTCCCTCACAGACAGTGCCGTGTGAGCTGGTGCACTGTCTCAGTGCAAGAGCCATGAGTTGTTGGCAAAATATCCAGGTCGCTTGCATTTTTTTCACACAGCCTTTCAGCAGTTCCAAATAGTGAACTCGGTTAACTGTCTTTCCAGTTGGTACAAATTCATAATGAACAATCCCTCTCATATCAAAAACGTTCAGCAACATCATTTTGACTCTTAATTTGAACTGATGGCAATTTTTTGGTCATGGAGAATTTGCTGACTTTCATTGTGCACCTTGACACTTTGTTTCAGGGAGACGTTGGTACACCCATACTTCATCACCAGCAATAACATGACCCAAAATATCCTCTTGCCTCTCCAAAAGGTCTTGGCAAACTTCAACTCTCCTTTGCTTTTGTTCATGAGTGACCATCGTCGGGACTATTTTTGCACATTTTTTAACATACCGACATTTTCAGTTAAGATTCTCCTGTTCCTCTATCGATGTTTACTTGGTCTGCTATGCTTATCACAGTCAGCTGATCATTTTGATGCACAACTCAACGTATTTTGGAAATGTTTTCATCAGTTCTGCTTGGTACCGGCCACGCTGACCTCTCTTCATCACTGATGCTTTCTCTCCCCTCAGCAGAATGTTTAATCCATTTGTACAGTGCCATTTCCTCCATAGAATTATCTCCATAAACTGGGACTAAAATGTCCCTGATTTCACTTCCACTCTTGCCAAGTTTAATAAGAAACTTAAAAGTTTCTTCATTGCTGTAATTCAAGCTCTGATATTCTCACAATGGCACACAAAAATACACAACACCACTAATGAATGCCACTCAGCAAGACACGGCCACACATCAACACAAACGCAGCTCTGAGGCTCTGATACACCGAGGTCAGGAAACCTTACCAAGCTCTCTGCACAGTGCTGCCAACAGAAGCACATGATGGCAAGTTCATGAACTTAATCATCAGACCTCATTGTGTTCTCCATTTAATAACTTTAGAAGGCTTTATGTAAGTCATACAATTAAATTTTATTAATTTGCACTTTCCTAATTAGAAACTGAGAATTTGGACTCCAGACTTTAGAGTATTTTGGTTGATTATTATCATTAAAGTTGCTCTGGAGAGTTTAGGTACTCGACACAGGAAGATAAGAATACACAGGACTGAGGCTAATTAAGAGAGTCATTTGTCTGTAAGGTACTTTAAAAATATAAGTACTGCTATGATTTGAACGACCCCTTCAAAACTCATGTTGAAGTTTATTGGCCAATGTAATGGTATCAAATGTGGTGCCTTTAAGAGGAGATTAGGTCATGAACAGATTAATGCCTTTATCTCGGGAGTGAGGTTCTGATAAAAAGGGTAAGTCTGGCCTCCCTTCACTCTCTTGCTCTTTCACTGTGATATGATGTTCTTAACCCCCTCACCACATGCCAGGAAGATGCCGGCACCATGCGCTTGGGCTTCCCAGCCTCCAGAACCACAACCCAAATAAACGCCTTTATTAATCACCCCTCTGAAGGGATGAGCAGGAAGAGAAAACAGAAAACAAACTAAGACAAGAACTCTCCCCATAGAAAGCATTCAATAGCTATTACGCATTAAGTGAAAATTAGATGCTTCAAGTTCTTCCTCATCACTTTTCACGTATTAATTAAAGCTCTATTTTGCAAGTGGCCATTTTAGCTCAAGCCAAGGAATGACCTTGCATACATAGATTTTACCTTTTCCTAATAAAGGGGGAGCTCCCTGAGGGCATTCCTTAGTTATCGCTGTATCCCTGACATTGTATGTCAACACCACGGTGATACACATGAAGCTAACACAATTGTCTTACACTCATTTTTTGACTAATATGTTCTGCTCTTCCTCACAATTAATCCAAGTTTGTTGGTATCTTATTATATTTCCAAAGAAAATGTTCTCTAATTATAATTTCCAAAGACTATCAACTGTGTATTCGTTAACTTTTACGCATTTATTTGCAGTAAAGATAAGGATACAAATGTCTTCCACATGTAATGGGGGAGCTGGTGCTCAGACCATCCCCTCCTCTCTGGGACGGCCCTGCACTGCCGAGCGCCCTGCTCACTGCGCAGCTCCGTCCTTGTGTGAGAGAACGGCGCCCCCTGGGGCTGTGCGAGGTGGCAGCCTGCTCATTCCTTTCTTCAGCTCAAAACAGTAAAACCTACTTTCAAAAATTTCCATTCTATTATAGGCAGAGATTCGTAAATCAGCACTTTTTTTTAAAGATTACAAAGTAGACTGTTCTGCTTAGAACAAAAAGAACAGACATCTAATTTTAGTTTATTCCTTCTATTAAGTCAAAGCAGCTCAAACTTCTTTGACTGTGCTGTACTGTCTATGCTCTGACATATTTCCCACTGAATCAAAATTTTGAAATAGTTATTCATAAGTTTAACAACTATCTTTCAAGCCAGGTATTTCATCGAGAAATGAAATATTTTTGTCCATACACTTCAGATTTAATAATTTCTCCAGTTTCAGTTTGGACATACAATACCCAGTTTCAGTCTGAACTTGTAATATCAAGATGCAGGTTCTACTACAGATTTTATAATTAGTTGTATGGTCCTAAACAAGCCATTTAGACCTCCCCCTTCACTCACATCAAAGAGGAACAACAATGCCTTTCTGTAAATCTACTTTCTGGGTAAACAGATGATGTGACAACATTTTGGTCAAGTTGCTAAACAAACACAAGGTAAAAGATATAAGGTTTTATCATATAAACTATTTTCTAATATTTGGTTGACATTTGTACAATTTAACCCAAATAAAAAACTGCATACTTTCAGAACTACAAACTTCAGTAGTTATATAGTGTGAATTAAAATAGCAAAGCTAGTCAGAGTAAATCCATTCATCCAGGTTCACATTTAATTACACCAGCAATAATTATAAAAATAGGTAAAGATTGGTGAAAATATTCCTATTTATTCTCTCCTAGGAGGTCTTGCCCATATCCATGGATTGCCTGGCGTCGGCCACTGCTTCAGGCACTCGAACAGTCATATTGTCCATAGATTTTGTCAAACACACTTGGCAGCCCAACCGTGACCTGTATAAAAAAGGGGAAGGTATGATTTAGGAGTCAAGTATACGTTATTCACCAGGTGATGCAGTTTAAGATATTTTTAACTTTCTTACCCAAAGCAGTCAGGGAATTTATTAACTTTTAAAATTTCCATTAAGTCAAAACAGATATAACCAACCCAAACACCTAGAAGGCACAGAAGGTAAATATGTAAAACAACAGACCTGGGGGGCCCCAGCTTCATTGTGAAAAGCCTTTAGTTTCTATTCCCTACTAACTGTCTCACCAGAACAACTACTTTTTGATTAAAAAGCCGACAAGCAATGAAATAATGAGAAGGCACATCGGGCAAGAAGAGACGTGAAATTATCCGCAAAGCCGTCAAAGTCATCAATCCAAACCACACAGACCACGAAAGCAAGCCACACTTTTTCAAAAGCCTTTAAAACAACTTTGAATAACTGCATAGACTTAAATCATAGACTGGAAGAGCCTATCTTTTCCCATATTTTTACTACCTCTAAAATCAAGATGCATCTTTGAATTGAGGGCATTTTATGATCACCCCTACACTGAGAGGTTAATGGTCATGTCATACCGGCAGTTCTGGTTACAATATTCATGAGGGTGACTCTTCAACTTAGTTATAGAAAGTATGTTATTACCGGCTCAGTGCCCATAGCACAGTGGTTATGGGCCAGCCACGTATACCAAGGGTGGGAGGTTCAAACCCGGCCAGGGCCAACTAAACAACTGCAACAAAAAAAATAGCCAGGCATTGTGGTGGGCACCTGTAGTCCCAGCTACTTGGGAGGCTGAGGCCAGAGGATCGCTTAAGCCCAAGAGTTGGAGGTTGCTGTGAGCCATGATGCTACAGCACTCTACAGAGGGTGACAAAGTGAGACTCTCTCCAAAAAAAGTATGTTATTACTAAATTTGCTGACCTTAACTACCTTTCAAAATAACTCCAAAAATTAAGAATACAAAAATAGCCAAGTATAAATCTGGTATCAGTAAATACACGTCGTTGGAAAGACAACTAGAATTCATTTCCTTTTTATTTTTGCAGAATTACCACCCATTTTATTCATATTTTCCTTTTTTAATGGTTATATATAATTCAAACCTATGTCTGAAGAACTCTAAATAACTCTTCCAATGTGAACAAAAGATGTTACGTGACAACACTGTGCCACAGTTTAATTAACAGTGCTTTTGTTCTTTCTTACTGGCACATGAAAATAAATGTTAACCTTCCAATCAAATTGTCTTCAGTCTGATGGCACGTGATACTCAGGTCTTGGTTTCATTAATGTATTCATCAAGCATTAACTGTGCTCCTAATGGCACAGCATTAAATGTCAGTGAGAACATGAAGACGAGATATGCAGCCCAATTCCATACTTTCTTACTGAACACCTGCACCTGCCGGGCCCCAGGGCACGAGGCAGGTAAGGACACAGTGCAGAGTGGGGGCCGTGCAGACCAGTGGCCAGAGTCCAGTCCCTCACGTGGCTTATTCACAGCAACTTCCTGTTGCTTAACCTCCCTGAGCATCAGTTTTCTAACATAATCTTCAAGACAGGTAAGAGAGTTCCTCTCACAGGCTTGCTGCTAACTTTGAATCAAATGACAGAGATGAGACACGTGTGCAGATGATCAACAGTAAGACTGTGACTTGCCAAATGCCACAGAGAGAGAGCCAGATGGCCCTGGGAGATGAGGAGATGGTGTCTGTGTCCAGAATGGGATTGCAGGACAAGTGGGACTGGCCAGGTAGAAAAGACAGAGGAGGAGCACTGGACGCGTAAGGCAAACAGAACGCAGGGATGCTCCAGGCACACGAGAGGCAAGATGGGTGTTTTGGCTGCTCCACGGTGTAGATCAGGACAAGGAGAATGAGGGGCCAGAAGGGGCCAGGGCCCCAACCAGCTTCAAATGCTAATTCAGGGGTTTATGTTTGAATTGTGAGTAATGAGGACCCACTGGGGAGTTGTGGAGTAAGGAGGGGCTTAACCATGGAAACACTGATTGCTGACAGAAAAAAACTCCTCTACTAACAGTTTCTTGTAGAATCAGAAGTAACCTTGACAACTCTCAATTATGCATTAAGCTCCTTCTGCAAGAGAGAAAACGTGATGAGCCAATCTGGACAAATTCACAGGGACTGCTAAGGCGCGTGCTGGAGAGCCCCGCTGCTCCCGGTGCTCAGGGGACGCCAGTAAGCTGATGCTAGTCTTCCAGGAACCGTTACTTTAGCAAGGGAAACAGATGGGAACAATTATCCATGAATCAGGGCAGGACACCACGGTGTGGGGACAGAACAAGAAGTCTGTTAGGGGAACACTGAGAGAGGAGGCACAGAGCGCTCCCGCTCACCCCAGGGGATAAGCGTGGTGCTCCGTGGCAGCCTTCTCACTCTCCTGCTCCGCCCACCTTCTCAAGGGTCTGTGGCTCCAAGACCCACCCAGAACAGACAGCATCTCACCCCCCCAGAGGAGACGGACAACAAGCCTCCTTCACATCACACTGTGAGTCCCACAAAGCTCTGACACTGGTACAAACGCTTTCTCCAGGCACTCTTGCCAAATATCCCTAACAATGAAAATATACTGGGTGTTGTATTAATTTACTTTACTTCTAAGATTTGGTTTTCAATTCAGAGTAACAGCTGGGGCCCAACACAGCTGGATTCAAATCAGGGCTCTGTCACCCACTAGCCTTGATCAAATACGGGATAACTAAACCTTGTATTCCCACCTACGAAATGGTGATAATGCTGCCTCACCCTGAAGGTTGGATAAAGATCGTATCAATTGCCTTAATATGATTGTGGTTACAAAGCTAACAGTGACCATTTAATGAACACTTTCTCCACCAGGCGCTGCTCTAAGGCCATCACATGTTCATTAACGCTAAACAGTAACCCCACGAGGCAGGTACTACTATCACCATCTTCATCCAGTGCAGATTCACAGTAACACAGACAATTCCTGAATCACCCTTTCCATCAACTATGAACTCTACAAACATTTGGTGACTGCCTACTGTGAATCAGGCACTGGAGTGACAAGGATCAAATAAGACATATCCCCTCCTCGATGGGGAAAAGGAGACAAACGACCAGTATGACAAAACCACGAGGCTGTCCATCAACTTTACATCCAATACGAACAATTAAAACAATGGGGTTTTCTCCTAAAAGTTAACCTTAAAGAAAAGTAAGGGTATAAACTAAAAGGCCGAGTCTCCCTGTTTCTTTGTTTTGGAACATTATGGACCCTAAGAGCGTACATGTGGTGACTAGTGGACAAAATTCTTGCCTTTCCAGATATGTCAAAGTGTTCCACGAATCCTACCAGTGAAACACATTATATACTCTTTCTCCACAAAGTAGCTCCACTAAAATCCTGTGTACTTAAAAATACCAGCTATAAAACACTGTAACAGCTATTTCTTACTCTCCATTATTCAGTTCTAGGATATGGAAATTTTATTACCAAGGCTCCTGGATACTTTATATTCACTCCAGGCCTTCTGTATCTTATTCATTCTGTGTATTTTCTAACTATATAGCTCTCCCTCCATTTCCTTTTCACCTAGAATATTATCTACCACTTGTACCTGTGAATTCTATCTGAATAAAAGGGCAAGTAGTTGGCTGGGATTTAACACTCTTACTTAGAGACACCATTCTCAGAACCAGGCTGATATAGCTATGGGATAGATTCTCTGTGTTATCCTTCAAAAAAGAAAAAAGGAGGTGTTGATAGAGAGTATGGCACTGAAAATGGGAGAGGGGACAGGTCGGTGGCAGCCACAATCCCCTTTGTTTTGGTGTCTAAAGAGGTAATGTTTTCCCAGTTTCTCTTCCCAGAATATCAATCAGTCTCAGCTCCACCAAGGGGGACAGAAACTACAAAAGGGACAAAACGCAAAGTACAAATGATCTCAAAAGGTTTGTGAGGATTAAAGGAGGGAGTTCATGTTAAATGTCTAACAAAATTAGTTACATAATAGACACGAAAAGGAAACTATTGTTATTGCTATTATTTTTGCTTTTATAAAAAATTACTTACAGTAGGGTCACCAAACAGCTTAAAAGGCCAATCTTCAGTAATAATCCCTTATTACCTTACTTCTTAAAATAATAAATCAACTTAGCTATCTTCCTTGATGCCAACCAAGACAGTTAATAAGGGATCACTTGTTACTATAAATCTTATCATTTTTAAGAGTAACTCTGCTCAGTAATTAATGACAAGAATAAGCTCTCAATAATTTCCTTTAATGTACACTTATAAAAAGAACTATTCATTTTAGCATTATTATTAGATACTAAGTTGCTTTAAAATTCTGTTCTCTCAGATAGGTAAAACTTTCCCCTATCGTGTTCAATTATCAAATGAGTCCTTCAGGAATACTCTAAAAATCATGAAATTTAATATCATCCCATTAAGTTGTGATAAATATTAATTCCTGGAATAAAAATAGGCCAAAGAAGATTTACTAGAATTTATTAGGATCCAGAACTTACACTTCCAATATATATATATTTTTACTTTTGTAAAAAGGAAAAGTCTAAAACAGTGAAAACAAGGAGAGATGCCACATATTTGAACTTCAGAACCCATGACTGAAATCTAAAGTGGGAGAAGGCGACTTTCACATTCGTGGGTCTGGACTTAACTAGAAATAAAACACGTCCTCTCCCGGGTTAGTGTACGACGGAAGTGGTTCTAAACTCTCACCTGTCCGTCAGTCCAAACGCCAGATCGAGCATGTCGTTCTCCTCATCCGTGATTGCGTCTAACTTCTCAAATATGTGCTCTTCAAAGATGAGGTGACAGGTGGAGCAAGCCAAGGTCCCCTCGCACGCACCTGCACAGAACCACAGACACTGAACACGCTCCACTCTACACCACACACAGGTCAAACTGCTTCCCTAAAGGGAAGTGTTTCCAAATTTTAGAGTCAGCATTAGAATACAGAATGGAAGGACTTGATTTCTGAATACTAATGAGCATTAGCAGCAATACACCCCCAAACACACACACGCGGAGCTTGCAATCATTCACGTGTTCCTTCACAAAGCTGCCTGGTTTGGGACTGTGAAAAGACAGTGTCCTGGTGTCACAGAGCTGACCGGTAACAAGCAGAGATGTGCGCACACATAAAAATCTGTGTATTTTTCAACTTACGCAGTAGTAATTTATGTAACAGTGATGCAAGTTAACCTACCTTTTCTGGGAGAGCTCAGCACAGTCTGTGAAGACTTGTGTATCAGAGGAACTAGACAGCAACCAAACCTATACCTCAGTGCAGTTAGAAGTTTGTCCCTCTCAGCATTCCTTATGACGTGCACAAGTAACTCTTTTGAGAGTCACTCTCGGGAGCTCCGGTTGCAAATTGATTAGTGTACTACTTGTAAAAGTGTCACCTTGGTTTCCTAAGAGAGTATTTGTCCTGTTTCATTATTTTTAAGTCACTAATTTAATGGTTTAGTGAGTGCCTATTAAATGCCAGACACCGTGAAAGGGACTAACTCAGCCAAACCAGAATGGAGTTCATTCTGCAACAGGGTCGGGTCCCAGACTCGGCTTGAAAAATCTCCTGCTGAGGTAAACTACACTGCACAAGTCTGCCGATTTCAAAGTCAGCTGACTTCCACCCTGCTCAGATCTGCCACTCTGACTTCCACCTACGGCAGTGGTTCTCAACCTTCCTAATGCCGTGACCCTTTAATACAGTTCCTGTGGGTCACGAGTCCTGAGAACCGCTGGCCTATGGGGTCTGCCCTATCCTGTAGGTCACCACTCCTGAGAACCGCTGGCCTATGGGGTCTGCCCTCTCCTGTGGAGTCAAACTCTTCTAGGGAACCCAGCTGGGTTGCAGAGGCATCACCATAGCTGACCACAGCCATCCTCCTACCTTGGCCTCCCAAAGTGCTAGGATGCCGGCGCGAGCCCTGTACCCAGCCTCAAATCCTTCTTCTAAACACTAACTTTTCATATTTTTGAGATTGTTCTTCCTTCTTCCAGCTGAGCACCCTCAGGTCCTTCAAATTTTCCTTACGTAACAGTTGCAAATCCCCTCCCTCAAGCTCGTGGAGCTTTTCTTAAAATGCGGCGTCCACATGCTCTCCCCCTCTGTGGGCGGCAGGCAACACAGCCACATGATGTTGACAATGGCAAACAGACGGTGGAGTCTCCGAGGGTGGGTGGGAGGGGTGCGGACCAGGGGAATCACTTAGGAGGCACAGTGTACGCTCTTCAGGTGACAGGTTCCATGAACGCCCTGAACTGACCACTAAACGATCTACAAATGTGACAAAACCACACAAGTACCCCATAAAGTTCTACAAGTACAAAAAAAATTACTAAGATATTAAAAAACATGTATTGGTATTCTGAGGAGATCTGACAACAGAGGTGTGCAGAATCATATTCTGATTAAAGTCGACTTTTTAAAGTTGTTCTGGTTTGCTTTTTAATCCATTTTTTACACCCAAGCTGCACCCCTTTAAAGACTGCAGAGTCTTCAGCGTAACTCAAGTTTGACGTGATTCTTTCTTGATCAATATCACCATATGAAATATGTGACATTATCACTAGTCATAACTGTGACCTCAATTCTCCTCAGAACGGATCATTTTAACAAGTTATTTCCTATTAATTCAAACATGTGCTATGCGTATTTTACTACTACAAAAAAAATAAGAAGGAAAAGAGAGACTTCCCTAAATCATCATTTTTATTAAACCAGCTGAAAGCAGCTGACAGGACTACATGCTTCAGCCCCCGCTCCCTTTTCACTAACCACATCACCAGGGCGGCTTTACCCGCCGTGCCTCGGTTTCCTCCAGTCACTCTGTCAACCTCGTGTGGTAGTCGCAAGAGCTCACGAGTGTGTACTAGATATGTGTTAAATGTACGTGCTGGGGCCACGACGGGTAGGCTGTAAGCGCTGGTGATCACTGTCATTATGACTTGCAATTGGTAAGAAAGCTCGGATTAATTCAATTTTCTTTTTAAATATAAAAGCAATGAAACCCAAAAAGTTAAAGAAATGCACAGCTCATCCTACTAAGTTAGGAGTGAGTAAGGACGTCAGCTGAGTGTCCCAATGCTGAAGACAACTAGTTTCAGCCGTACATTTAGCTAAGGCTCCTTCAACAGACAGAAAAGGTGCATGTGACGAGGAATCCTCCCCAAGAACTTGGGTCACACTCCTTTTGGTAGCTCCTGGCCAGGGAAATGAAGAGTGACCACTGGTGTCCCACTTTT